AGAGAGGGACTGGCCCAAAGTCACCCAGCCAGCTTTCATCCCTAAGGCAGGACTAGAACTCACCGTCTCCTGCTTTCTGGCCTGATGCCTTTACCACTAGACCAAACTGGCTCTCTTTACTATTCATTTAGGACAGCTTTTCCTACCTTGGGGCCCACCAGACAACATAGCCATCAGAACACAATGTGTTTTTGTCCCAATACATTTGGAGTGCGAAAGCATCAGTCAGCCACAGGATGCTGCTAATGTAGCAACTCATTTTTGGTCCCTTCGTTACATAGACTTTTGCCTGCTGTCGACAGTTGGCAGATTCAGGAGGTGAAACTTGGAGCTATCTCTTCCAGGCAATAAGAGAAGCTGGGGGTCCCATTTAACTGTAGATAGGACCCACTAGGTGGGTAGATAGTGAGGCCGAACCCACCCCATCACTTATTTTGGTAGTCTTGGTTTTCAATTTCTTTTCTCCCCAGTGTGGTTGCTTCCAGTTTTAGAATTTGGTTAAAGAAGATACCTAGCTGAGCAAATGTAAGGAATAGAGAAACCTGAGATAAGAACTTGAGAACTGACCAAATGAATGAATAAGTACATCAGAATACTAGGATAGGAATTAAGATAGTTGCCAGGGTTCCCAGTAGGATTGAATCAAAATGCTTTTTTTTCTTTTCTTTTAAGCAGTGACTTCTTAAGTTCTAGTATCAGATAGCTTGACTCCTTATGTTAGCTGACTGATACTTGGAAGTGTAGAATATGCAACTCCATGAGGTTATCTCTCTAAATTAATCAAATGTGAATTACCAAGTGACTGGTTCAAATGTTGTATTAGGATTAACATTTATGACTTTGATCCTGTTTCTTCTTCCATGCAGTTGTAAGGAGGAAATTAGAGCCATTGAGAATGTCTCCAAATTTGGAACTGTCTTTAGTTTTCATTATGGTTTATCCATATAAGCAAGGTTTATAAACTACAGGGTGAGGCTTGTTTGTATGGTCAGATCATTTATAAAGCAGCTACATTTTTTCTTTATTTGGCCATTGCAACAGACTACAGTTAATTGAAACCCAAGCAAATGCTTCATAGCTTCTTATAGCCCTGATAAGGTAGGGAGAGTGCATGAGCTTAAGGCTTGTTCATGTCACTTCACCTGGAATCAATTGAAAGTCTCTTCCATCCAAATCCAAATTAGCTTGGAATTCAGAAAAAAATAAAAAGTCATTTATTTTTATATGCAGTTTTCCCCCAAATAATATTTTCATATACAACTTCCTTCAAAATATACATATATATATACAGTTTTATCAGTGTACATTTTTATACAGATGTTGAACCAAGAATTGCATCATTTAACTGGGAGACACGCACAATCTATATTACTTCAAAAAGTGCAAACTAGGCCAAGTTCACTTAAAAATGAAGACCACAGACATCTAATTATTATTTTCTTCCAATATTGCAGTTTCAAAAGTTCATAGTGACCACCTAGCCGCAACACTAAAATATGGTCATGACTCTTGTTTGGTCTTTATATATAAAGAAAATTTATTATTATTATTATTATTTACAAAAAGAAGCTACAAGGAGAGATGTAACTATGGTCACTGTAAACAGTGATAGCAATGTAAGTAATTATAACATATCAAAACACAGCAAAATTGCATTTCTGAAAAATGTTTTTCCCCACCCTGTTTTCAGCTCATTCTTGAGAAAATATAGTTTATTTGGATTTGTCGGTATTGCTGAGCATTTTAATTTATTTGTAGCATTAATGCAGAGTTGACAAGCAGTGGAATGTTTGAGAAAGGATATTATTTTGTAGGCAAGATGCACTAACTGCTGTCAAGTTTCTAATGACATTATCTATCATGCAGAAGAGGTAACGTGCCTTTTCTCTCTGGTTCAGTAAGCCCTTGGTTTTGTTATATCCAATGTGTCCTTCCAAGAATGGGTTAATAAGAGATACCACAATGCTATTTTCTATATAGATTATTTAGCTCTTTGTGGTGTTCACCATTGCTTTACATAAATAATAACATCAGTGAATATATTTTGTCCAGCATTCAGAGTGCCATCTGTTGCATTTGTAATTCTAAATAATGGCAAAATAGATTAAAAAGGAAAAAAAAAAAGCTGTAGGGAGTAGTTCGTATTTATAATGATACTTAAACTTCATTAGTATCTTAAAATTAGCCACATAATTTGAAATTTGAGAAAGATTTTTTGGTTTATTTCTTCTGCCTCAAGTTTTGATGGTTTAAATTGGCTGAAATTAAAATGTTGAAAGTCACAGGTTTAAGGTTTATGTGATTCCTCAAGTGAAATCAGCTCTGATGGCATTAGGGATATCTTCCAGTTTTCATGAAAGGTTTTAAAATCTCCTAGTTTTGTGGATAGGAATGGTCATTGTTTTTTAAGGCTTTTATATTCTTCTCAAAAACAAAAAAAGGAAGTCCTTATATAGGAAGTGCTCTATATAAGAAAAAATGGAATAAGGTCATAAAATACAAATAACGTAAAAACTAATATACAACTTAGATGAGAAGGCGTAAATCTAACAAGCTTTTAGAATTTGGGGAAATTAATTAATGATTTCTCCCTACCAATTAAAATGAATAGGCAGGATTCTTCAGAGCAGGAATTTCACAAATGGAGTGCTAAGACCCAACATGCCTCCTTTCTGAGCATCATTTTTGATGGAATGATGGGGTATAAATATAATAAATAATTTCCTGATTGGTTTATGTTTTGCCTTGACAGTAGGAGATACCTACAGAAGAGAATCAAGAAATACTTTGGTTTATCACAAAATAACTTTTGTAGTGGGATGGGAATTTGAACCCAGACATCCCTTCCTAAGACCAATACACTAGCACTCTCCCATAGTGCCACTTTAATAGGGACTAAAGGCCAAAACTATTTAAAGGCTAAGGTAGCTCTTTGAAGGAATGTGACTAATTCCTTGTCCTTTATTTGTGAATGGATTTAGTCTCCTTCAGAAGTCTATCAATGGATGTAAGTCTTCAAGGGGATTTCCCTCATTGCATTTCTTAGTTGGTTCTCTGCTGGAAGCTGGGTGATTCCAGCCTCAAGCCAGAAGCTCCTAATACTGCAAGCAGAACTAATTTGGGAAGTGGAGTCCATATTTATCTTCAAATTCGTGGAAGGTTTTTGTATCTCCCCTGGAACAAGTTGTGGTCAAGGACAAAGATAAAAGGTCTTTCTATTGGAAGAAAAAAAAATGTACTGGGAATATTCTTTTAGCTCTTCTGTTTTCTAGTTTGAACTGAATCTATATTCAAATTGGTGGAAGGTTTTTATACCTCCCCTGGAACAAATTGTGATCAAGCAGGGTTAAAGTGCATTCAGATGTCAATTAACATGTTGAATCAGGTATCAACAGATATTCCTGTAGCATTTCTCCACATTCTAAAATAACAGTCTTGGGAAGATATCAGGGTTCAATAAATTAAATTACCCAGTTTGATTCTACTCTCAGGGACAGCATGCCTTTTTAGGAGGCGTTTCTGATTTACTCTATCTTCTTCTTTCAGATTTAATTGTCATATTTTCATTACATTTCTGAGAGCCTCCAAAAATGTCATCTTTAAACGCCCCATTTTTGTGTGTGTTGTAAAATCAAAAATAATGTGAACTTCCCAAGTTACAAACTTTGTTACAAATGAAAAATGTGGCTTGATTAGGCTTGGCATCCCTTAGGATGTGCTCTTGTCTATTTTTTTCCTTAGTCCGAACACAGAGAAGAATTGAGAAGGTGGAATCAAGCTTTTGTTAAATAGCCCTGTAAGTCATCAACAACACTGAAAATAGAACATGCTTGGATTGTTACACAAGGAACTAGGCTCTGGACGCCGCAGACACTTTACTAAGCAACAATCTTTTTGGTGCTTTCAATGGATCTGTCTGGGCAAGTAATCTGCAAGATGGTTTTAGAAAACACTTAGGGGATTACAGTTCTGAAAATGTGGGCCGGCAGTATTTTGATTGTACTGAAGCAGGGTGGAAATAAATCAGCTTGGTTACAATAGAAGACTAACACAATGGGATCACAGAAGCATGGCGCTGTACCTGAAACAAGGCACATGCTGCATGTGGAAAGCCCTCTGACTTCTTGGCAGTGCTCTGTAATCATTATTTTCACCCATAGCAATACCCCGAAGTCATCTCTCTGCTGTCACCCCACCCCTCCAATACTAATTGGAAAGCAGAAATCAGTGCGTTGCAAGGAGAGTGAATATGTCTGAGCTTTTCCATAATATCACCCTGTTTCCTACCGTTATGCCTCTAATGAAGCCGTAGGGCAAATTCACGTAAACACTTGCAAAATAAGACAAACGGCCCCCCCAGTGACATGTAAGGTGTTGCTCTTCAAGTTTCTTTTCATCTACCCAGCTGTGTTTCCTTTCAGGAAATTTCATCCGGTTCTAACCCCTTCCACCAGGCCAGTTTTCTATTCTCTTCCCTGATCTGTAAGCTACTCAGTATCCTCTGTCTCCGTTGGATTCAGACTCTGGGGTCCTCCCAAATTGCTAGTAGCTGCCTCTTATGGCTGGATGCTGTGTGAGATCAACATGCAAAATGAGTTTGCGGGGATAAAGAATGCTAGGCTGAATTGGCAGAATGAGAGAAAATCCATTTCTTGGCAGACTGGATGGGTCAGACATCTTTGTGCATATATTCAGCTTAAAGGAATCTTGCAGGCGGGATTTATTTTATTTCTATGTAATTTTAAATTTCTGACAGTTGCAGCTGTCAGAGACCAACTGGGGTATGGATTTTTCAGTGCTTTCCAGATCATTATGTCTCGGCACGTGCAGTGCTAACCTCCCACTGTAAAAGCAAGACTCCAGTGGAGTAATTAAAAGCATTTCATTCAGTACTCTTTAAAACTACTAAAATAAGCTCTAGCAATTGTCCAGTGAATAACCTGCAGTGAAATCTAATAGTCCTGAAGGGGGAAGTGTTGAAAGACTAAAAACAGGTTGGCATGCCTGTCAGCAAGATGTGGACATTCAGGTACTTAACAAATCAAGGTAGAAAAGGGGAAACTTTGAAAAGAAACCACTCGAAGTGAAAAGAATTCATTTATCAGTGGTTTGATAAACAATACAAACATATCATGGGAGGCATTGGAAACTTTTCTAATAGCTGGGCGAATCAGCCTGCCATGAACTACAGTCATTACATCCAGCTTAGTCCTTATTGGATTAAGGAAACAGATGGGCTGGTTCCTCTCCTTTCCTCCTTGCACTCACTTATGCATACATAAGAAGCACTTGAACTCTTCTAAGATGGGAATGCTCAGATTTAGGTAAATGATGCTTAAAAATTTGGAACAGATGGTTGGGAAAACTCAGGGCTGGTTTGCGTTTTGCACACTAGGGTGGTTCCATAGCTCAGTAACTGAACCCATGTTTTGGGAGTTCTGTGGTTTTAAATTCCATCCCTGGTATTTCCAGTTAAAGGAGAGTCAAACAGTGTGTGATATGCAAATAAGTTTAGAAGCTGCGACCGGTTATAGTAGAAAGCACTGAGCTTGAAAGATAAAAAGTCTGACCTAATATAAATCAGCTTCTTATGTGCCTGAATGTAAAAAAAGGTAAGATGAGAATTGCATGAAAATATCACTTCCTCAAGCATTGTTTGAAACAATTGATTTAATTCAATGTACATCTCTATAAATATATACCATTAATCTTTGAGAGAATATACTACATTGGATTTCCATTTGTTTTGTAACTTTAGATATGCATTATGTTGCTTTTTTTTTCATTTTTATGGGAAGCAAATGCTAAATAAATTGAATGTTACTGTTTAAGATTGCCTCTTAGAAAGATCGGGCCATTAGCTAATGACTACCATGATGAACATATTTAGAACAGTAAACACCTTTTAAGACAAATAGAAAAGTAGTAGGGTGTCTTATGAATACATGATGAGGCTGTAGGGAAACTTCAGGCAGTCTTTTCTGCTTAGATGAGAATTTACATTAGTTAAGATTCTGAGCATGACAGAGACCTAGTTAGAAATAAGAGGATCCCAGTTAACATATTAAGGAATGACATTTGTTTTAGGATACCAATCTAAGAATCCCTTTTTTTAGCAATAGAATGGAATGTATAGTTCAAAACGGTATTTTAGGAAACAATTTTCAAGAAGCAGTAGATACTGTAGATGAAAAATACATTCTTGCTGTTGATGTGAACCATAAACAGCCATTTATTCAACAACAAAGTTTCCTGTTTCCCTTTATAGAAACAAATTCTGTGTGTGCTCTTGTAGATGTGCAGTACCACCTTTGATTAGGTTTAGAATAACATAAAACATTTCAGCAACAGTACAACATCTGCTGTCAAGGCAACCTTTGGAAGATTATATAATTCGATTAAAGCACCCTTGCTAATTAAGTCATAAGTGAGGCAATCCAGAGATTTTTCAGGCATAAAGCCCTACTATTTGGATTTTGGGGTGTGAAATGAGAAGGGTTAGTTGTTGGTCACTGAATGTGAGATCTGATCCCTTGTAGAGTAGTCACAGCAGTTTTCCCTATCTCTGTATACAGTAGTTACATCTTTCATAGGTGACATAATCAGAACATAAGTTCAGCAAATGCCCTACAGCAGTTGATACTCAGTATGTTGCAAAGAGACAGTGATAACTATATAGGCCATAGTCAAAGCCACGATAAGCTAGTTGAGAAATAACAAGAAGTCCACTTTGACTGAATAAGAATCAGAGCTCTATTTTTCTGCAAATGAAATTGGTTGAATTATGTTTTCATATGGAAAAAATGCCCAGTACTTTCTTTTTCATTTGTTAAAATTTGCCTTACAAAGATATTTCTGGGTCTTTATTAGTAGAGAAATTTGGTCATTCGTTACTTTGAAAGTCTCAACGTGAATCATTTGGGTCCTGATCCAAATGTAATTCATAGTCAGGCACAGATGCTAAGGTTAACATATCTTAGGGAGGCTGGAAATATTTCTCTATCTTACTGTATTCAAAAGGGTCACAAGGATGACAATTCACATCTTAGTTGTTATCGCAGTTCACCTTGGATTAGGGAAAGCACCCGTATTTCAAGTGGACAGAGTTAGATGATTTAGAAATTGTTCCTGAAATGGATAATAATGGTTCCAAAAAGTTCCAGAATGAAGTGAGATTGTCTATCCCTGATGGGTTCTGCCTGTCCCACTAGATCCTGGGCATAATCTGGATTGCGTTTTGCTGAAGCACTGGTGGGGCCTGGAAAGCATGTTTTCTCTGTTATGGCACCTGCCTTATGTAACCCGCGCCCCAAGATCTGAATGACCCTGGTCCTGTTGGCCTTCTGGAAGGCCATGAAGACCTGGTTTTGCCCCCAGGCACTGCGGCCTGCATGTTAATGGACCCCAGCATGTGTATGAGATATGTTGATAAGTTTTTTATTTTTAAATAGCCTCAACTTGGTATTTTGATTGATTCCTGTATTGTTTTGTTGTTGTTCCTCACCCAGAGTTATATTAGCAGATGGGCAGTTATATAAATTTGTTAATAAAATAAAGCAAGGTCTCAGGCATGCATGAGCATAACCCAAAGAGCATTCAGACAAGGGATTGTGTTTTCTCAGCAGCAGCTGCCGGGGCCATAGTGGACACTATGAATGGCTGCCATGACAACATAGCAAGAGTCCAGCTAGATCAGTCCCCAAGTCTATTTTCTGGCCTTCTGCGTCTTTTGTGTATCCAAGAACTTCCAAGCAGGACGTGCATCTGCTTCCATTCTTGTTCCCTAGCAGCTGTTATAAAAGGACTTTGGGGTTGCTGAGGTAATATTTATAACTATCAGAATCAGTAACCATTGGAAGTTTCCATGAATTCCATTTTTCCATTAATTTATTTAGCCCCCTTTGAAAACCACCTAAACACTCCATTAGATTATAGTGAATTTCATAATTTATCCCAGTTTTGTTAATAATAGTCCCAATTATCTGAGCATCTCCCCCCCTTAGAAGCTTTGATAAATATGTTTTGTTGCAATGCAAGTGGATCTCACAGGCTGATGCTGCATTTGCTTACATTTGCAACAGCTACTGTTTTCATAGTGCTTTAGCTCTTAGTGCTTTAAATGGTGCCTAGGTAACCATTTTTGTTCATGTTGTCCTCATAGGCAAGTAACAGAGGGCCTGAAGCCCTATGGCCCAACAAACCCTTGGTTTCTTCTGGAAAATAAATACATTGTCTCTGTGTTACTTGTTGAGGCTCAGAGGAGCACAAAACCCAAGATATGAGGACTACAAAATTATGTCCACTCTTAGGAGATTATTTTGTGGTGTCTCAGTTGCAGGAGCCTGACATTCTCTCCCTCTGCATTAGAACTAAATACTGTACAGTGATGCTCAGAAAATTAGAATGCAAACTATGATTGGTAAAAATTGACTGTGCAGCAAAAGAAAAAAATAAAACCCATGCCTTTCACATTCTTCCAAGGTTGTTCCTTCTCTTCTACTGGCTTATCTTTGCAGAGGTGCATCTGGGGTCTTTGGTCAGCACGTACGTATACAGTATATAGTTTTAATAGAGAATGACATTTTGCAAAGCTTTCTGGCCAAAATGGAAGCGAAGGCAACTGAAAGTAATTGAGGCTGGGAAATGCAAGTTATTCCCCACAAAGGCAATCATGAAATATCCCTCAAAGTGGCAAATGTTTCAGGAAGGTGATAACAGTCAATTTCTTTGAGCATTTAAAGAGATTTTCTGGCACCAAGATTTCAGTGGCAGGCTCTTTACATTGTAATGCTTCTGTGCTGAATTTATTCATAAAGTGAATCATCCTAGTCCCTCCTAGATTAAAAATCCGTGCATTATTGATTTCTACATTGTCAGAGTTTGCGTTCAGATGTGTCTGCAACCATTAACATGTGCTTCAATATCTTTAAAATATGCAGAAGCATTAGCTGTCATCCAGATATTGATGAACTGCCATTTAAAGTGGATCACATCATTTCTTAAACTGCAAAAAAGCAGGAGGCTCCGGGGGAAAAAAGCAAACGTTTCCTTAAAACCTCTAGCAAGCTCTGTGGCTCACTGACAGTAAGCAGTTAAAGTTCATTCTCAATTAAAATGTTGTTACAGATTAGAACAGAAGAAGTATAGCCCTGCCAGTTTCCAGTATCTTCCCTATGAAAGTTGAATCATTATTATTTTATGAAGATACAGTAGTGCCTTGATGTGTAGTGAGGAGTAAGGAGAACGAAAGCCACTTGGGTTGGTTATGGCTGTTTGTTCCAGTACTAGTTTTCAGAATCCCTGTGCTGAATATTTTCCTTTCCTGTAATTGATATTTCTATTATTGAATATAGGTTAAATGTTTCCTTTTTTGGTGGGAAGCTTTTAGTGCAAAGGGACAGGAATTGACTACCTGCATGAAGTCACATTTTCATGACGCAAACAAAATAAACAATGCAATATTTTAATATAGAGTTGTTGTTTTTTGGTCGAAATAAGTGCTGCATCACTGTCAGCTGCACGAGCAATTAGGTATCAAGTAATGAATAGTTTTCTACATAAGATTTTATTCTGTGCTATTTTAATACTGCTTTTCTCATTAAATGGCTTTGTTGAAGCAGAAATGCGTAAATTCATTAAATACTTTCAGACTAACGGCAGGGGATTTGTAACTCTTTTATTTTGAAATAAAATCCTTTTTCATTGCATATGATTGCAAAAATGAATTTTTTCCCCTTTTTTATTAACTTGTTTTTATGAGACAAGTTTCCTTGGCAATATAAATTGAAGACTTAAAGCTAAGCAATGAAGGCAGTAATTACATACAATGAAACATGATAAAGATTAAAATGAGACAACCCAAAACTAAGCCATCAAAAGCCGAGGATCAAAAAGAAAACACATACAAAAAAGTATGCTTCTTTGGAGAGCATTTTCAAGCTTGTAACCACCATGAAAAATGTTCTCCAAACTTCAGAATAAAGAAGGTCTCTGGAAATGCAATTAAGGGCACAAATGAGAATATTTATTCCAAAATGCTCTGTGACTTCTGTAATAATCAGCTTCAAAAGCATGAAGTCACTGCATGCAAAGTCCTGTGATATCCTTCAAAATTGTGATATTACTTAGCCAAAGTTAGCCTTCAAGGGTATGTTCAAATGCAATTCTCGTTTCTCATGTCATCTCAGAGATATAGAAATCAATAACTTATTGGATAGTACTCTTTTTCTTGTAATGCTCGTTTTGGGATTTTTCTGTAAGACAGTGTTTCTCATACTTGGCAACTTTAAGATGTGTGGACTTCAACTCCCAGAATTCCCTAGCC